TAAAATTTTTAATTTGATCCTCAAATTTTATTCTTACACAATTGTATTTTTTTGAGTACCTAATTATTATTTTTTTCAAGAAAAGGTTGAATTGAAAGAGAGGACCATACTAAAAAAGGCAAAGAAAATAGGTGACAACTTCAAATTTCACATAAAATTTTTTATTTTGATCCTAAATCTTTTTTGGTTTATTGGTCCTAAATCTTTAGGTGTCAAAAATTCAATTTTGATACCAAACTTTATTTTTCTAATTTTTTTAAAAAAATTTAGTGAGAGGAGAGAGATAAGCCCATTAGATTTCAACATTCAGAGAGAAAATCATCATTGACACATATTAATCATAAAAATAATTGAAATTTATGTTAAAAAGTTTCATTTGATGATAAGAGTCTTATAATGATTGTTTTAAGTGTTGATATTACCTAAAAAACATATCTAATTCGAGGATGGAAAGATCTATTCAGTCTAATTTTTTGATTTAAGCCTTTTTTGGGTTTATTATGTTGCTAAATTGGTTTGTACATATTATAAGGTGTTTGTAAAGTATTTTTTGACTTTAAATGAGTTAAAAATTTTTTTTAGTAAAACACTCGTAATCCTGATTTTTCAAACATCATTATAGTTCTTGAAATTTGAGCTGACAAGTGAGGTGTTGCCCACCTGTTTTTTTCTAGAAAAAAAAAATGAATGATAGGTTATATATCCTTTTAAATAAGAAAAAAAAAAGGCCCACACGTTTAGAGTATTCCTTTCAAAGGCTCGTGGGCTTCTTTTTGTTTTTTTTATTTAAAATGAGCTAAACATTTGTTATATTAAATTGGAAATGTAAATGATGTGTTGCAAGGATGATAAGATTGTGATGAGAATTAAGAAAGAAATTTGCATGGTTTAAAACCCGGATAGGCTTGATGGGTTGTCCTGAGATTTGGCTGACCTAGGGCTGAAATTGGGCTTGGTTGAAAAAAATTAAGGTAAAAAAAAACCCAGTTTGATCTTATTAAAAAATCTAATTGTAACTTGTTGATTTTTTTACTAAAATAACATTGTTTTGAATTTTTTTTTTAAATTTAATTCAGATAACCTGATACAAAATCTATAATTTAGACCTTGAACTGGAACGAATCTAAAAGCTATAAAATTTTACCTCTCACCACACTTGAGTGGTTCGACCAAGGTAGGGAATTAGGGAGAGATATTATTTGTTTAATTTACAGTCAGATTAGGGATAAGAATGTGATTAGTGTTGGTTAGTGCTTGATTTTATTGCACGTTGGGCACAAATCATGTGCCAGTGGTCGGTGATAATTAAAAGAGAAAATCCAAATGAGAAAAGACATCAAATCCCCAACCAACGCCCATTTCAAATGCCATGATTTTACTTTCAATTATTGTTGGAGATTAGTATATAACGCATTTAATGTTTGTTTTTATATTTTAAAACTGTGTTTTAAAAAATTAATTTTTTTATAATTTTTTTTAAAATTAATATTTTTAAATTTTTTTTAATCATTTTAATATAATAATATCAAAAATAATTTATTTTTAAATAAAAAATATTTTTAAAAAATAATTCTAACCACAATTTCAAACCAACCGTACTTCAATCATACAAACCCTCCTCCGATCATATCATGTGACACGAAACCGATAGCATTGGAGATAAGCCAAAAAGAGAGACGGGTCATACGTGGACAAAACACCGCCACACTAAAACTGTGTTTTAGTGGTAGATGAACCATCCACGTAGCCATTCAACCCACCAACATATGCGCATTAATCAAATCATGTTCGAGTCGTCGTCTAACCAAAATATATTTCTTTTTAATATTTTTCCTGGGCTCGGTTCGGCTCTTCCAAGCCAAGCCTAGCCCCTTAACCCAATCCGGATTTGGCTCCTAATCCCATGGTTGATCGATTTAACAGCTCTTGCTATAATCATTTGTAACCTCAACCCCCCAACTCAGTGGGTTCACCAATTAACTTTTGACACGTTCCTTCACTTCGCCAATAAAACCATTCTCGGTGAATATCGTGAAAGTGTTTTTAAATCTCAATCGTTGAATTTAATTAGTGAATAAGGTTTTATTTTAAATTTAATTAACGTTTTTTTTATTATATATTCCATTACATATCCGTCATCAATGGGATGAAGCTGGGAATTTTACGGGTGGGTGAGGTGAATCCATAACTAGAAAGTATATATAGTATGGTGCTATTAATTAAAATCTATTATTTTTAAAACCTTTCGTCGTACGTTTGCGTAGCTCTAAACTGAAAATTGTCCACTTCATTATTTTATACAGGATGTATTTGATATTTAAATTATTTTTTTAATTTTAAATTATTATTATTATTTATGTGATGATATTAAAAATATTTTTTTTTTAAAAAATGACCCTTATCCCATTTTCAAATAAAAAATCAGAATCATGTCATTGAAACTTCAAAACTATAGTAGCTCCTTTCAAGTACTTAAATTGACAACTAAGTTTTTCTTCAAGCCGATAAGAAAAACATGATGTGATATGATGAATTTGAAAAAAATTTAAATAGTTTATGAGTAATATATTTCAGATCATTGACTTTTTTTTTAATAATTTAATTTATTTTCATTTATTATAATGATTAGTAGTCAGTATTTGTAAAAGGTGCCATCTTATGGATTTCAAGACTATTCAATAATTAAGTAAATATTGTTTTTAGAAAAAATAATATATTATTTTAAAAAAATTCTAAAAATAAGTATGTAGTAAATAATTGAGATTGTGAACCTCATTTCATCAAATGATTCATAAGGTCTTTTAAGGGATGTAAAAAAATAAAAATCTTTAACTTTAATATTTTATATTAAAAATTACGAGAAAAAAACAAGTGAGGTTTTCTAATTCAATATAAGTTCTGTAAAAATCATTAGTTATATATTCATTTGTGTTAGGCATTAATCATTAAATTTGATATTTTTTTGAATTTATGTATATTTAGATTTAGTGTATAGATAAACACAAAGATATTAAATTATAATTCTCTTAATTTTTTTAAATATGAATTTTATATAAAATAACACACGAATAAAACGCCATAATCTATCACAAAAGATCTTCTAATGAATCGAGCGATTGCAAAATTTTTATTTTTGTTTCTTAACCTAAGAATATTTCTTTTACGAAGGGCTTCACGGCTAGCAGAACCCGATGAAGACCCCCTCCAAGAGATAAGGAGCAGGCAGTTGCAGATATAATGTACCTCACTGAGTCAGCAACAGCACTGCAACTACAACTCCACCAAGATATTTTTGAGATCAACGCAAGTGATATTTTCCAACCTGCGAGGAAGCGTGGAAGTCCCTGCAAAATTCCAGGACCAGCCACGGTTGTTAAACCCAATTTGACGTGAAGGATTTGAGACTTGGCTGATCCATTCTTTGACCAGCTGAAGCCTTTTGAAAAATCAAAGAAGAATTAGTTTGATTTGACTTAGAAACATGCCTTTTATTTTTCTTTTTTAAAAATTAATTAACCCGAATTAATCCCCTTATCCGGAACTTGAAATTCACTCCAAATCGGGGTTGATATTGGATATGCTTGTGCATGAAGCTAATTATTAATTATAAAATAAAAAAGAAAACTAAAAACTAAAAAAATATCCTTTTTTTACTGTTCATTGTGTTGTTATGGCACAGAAACACTGTAGATAAGCATCTTTACTGAGAGTTGTTTGTCATGGGGCAGAAGCGCTGTAGATGAACAGTTTTCTCACATGCTCGTGCCTTTATGTGAGAGTTGTTTGTTATCTGCTTGGGACATTTTTATCCTATGCGAGGTCTACCTGGGCAGTCTAAATTTGGACTCTCTGTTTTTTCATCTGCTTTTCTGCGCCCATCTTTGTTCACCAGTTGTTTGGTAGTTTTTGGGTTATTACAGTACAGCCTCTTATAAATGCTCTGATCTGTCAAAGCCACTAGAACTTTTCTCCTAGAATTGCAGCGTTTTTTGCCCTCCTCTCATAATTTTCCGGGGACCTGTTACCCAACTCTTTGGGTGTCGGACGTGATGGGTTTCAAAGTTTTAGCTCATCTTGGCCAGATTGTATATGTTATCTCAGTCACTTATGGTTTTTATAGTCGTTCTTGATGGGTCTGGTTTTAATCTGGCAAAAGATTCCCCTCACTCATGCTAAATGTCGTGATTCCTTCAACAGGTTCAGCATGTCTTTGCATCGAAGACTGGATAGCGCGGGCAAGGATGCTTTTGGTCGGGTCGGTAGCTAGAAGATATGCTTTGATTACTGATGCGAGCACTATGTATTTGCTGAAAACTGTTTCGACAAGTACATAGTACCTGACACAAGGCTACGGGAACCAAATCAAACCAATCAAACGTCCACCAACAAATCAAGCAGATGGAAAATATGATCTATTAATTATGCGGTTGTCTGGCTGTTGAACCCAAATAACTTTCTTGTTAACGACAGCAAATCAACCGATGACCAGAAGCACAAAACTTGAATCTTGTTTTATTGTCTTCAATAATAGATTATATATAAAGGTTCTCGGTTCGTTGATGCAAAAACCATACTCTTGAGGCATCGCCGCGGGCACTCCAGCCATGTTTGAAACAATTAATTATTTTACACAGTAAGTTACAATGCATTGAAGTATCAATACATACATCCATTGTTTTCGAACAATGGAGATGATACCTCTAATTAAATGGTGTTTGGCACGTAAGATTGAATCCTAGAACATTATAATATGGCTGCAGCTTTCTGAGAATTTTAATATCCACATAATAAAACTTCAGTTCTGGTAAAAGCTTTATTACGCTAAATCTTGTGGTCTTTGCTTATAATTGAGGAATGGCATTGAAAAAAAAAACAAAAACGTAACTGTCATGTGATTTATGGCTGTTGCTTATTTATTTTTTTTAAAAGCAAATCAGATGCCAAAATATTAAAATAAAAAAGAATAGAGGAAAGAGGAATTGAAAAGTGCAGGTAAGTGGGGTCAGTTATATGTCGTCGGCTTATGAGTCTGTGGCTAAGCAAGAAGAAAGAAAGCAAAAGGAAGGCACAGGCTCGAAGCAACTCAAGCACCAACCAACCCCTCCTTAGATTCTTTCTTCTTCTTCACCGCTTCATACATTTATCCTCTCTTCTACAAACTCTCCGAAAAGGGCTTCAAGTTAGTAAGAAGTTGATCTTCACCCCAGTGATGTTTTCATCCATGGATCTATGATTACAGAGGGAATCAGAGAAGAAGTTGATCAAACTGTAAGTTTGCTTACACATTCTACCCCTTTTTATTTGTTCATGAATGAGCGTGTAAGTAATATAGATAAAGTATTATTTTTTTTTCGACTTTTAGGTTTGTACTTGGCAGTGTAAGTTTGTTTTAAGTGGAGATCTTTTTTTTTTTATTAGTATTTCCTCTAGTGGGATTTATTTTGTTCTTGGTTAACATGTACTCAAGTTAGATGCTTGCCGTGAAATCTTGTTTTTTTTATTTGCTTTCTGAATAAAAAGATAGAAAAAAAAGAAAGAAAAGAAAATTAGACGATTCACATGTTGTGGCTCTGCTACCTTTAAAGTTTGCAAATTTGAGATAATTTGGACAAATTGGGTTTATTTTCTTATATTCATTTTAATTACCGTCAGGTAGTTATGACTGCTTGTGTGGTGGCTAGGTCCATAGCCCGGTTGAAGCAGGCCATCAAAAAGTCTGGAACTTTAACATTGCTTGGTTGACTGCATCTTCACGTGAATAGCCTTGGAGGAATTCTGTGACACTTTGAAGCATTCTTCTGTAAATCCCACTTCATCATGTCTGATCGCGTGCTACAGTCATATCAAGATAGGGATGATATTCCCGTAAAGTCCACGAAGCAGCGCCAGTCTATTTGGATGTCTCATTGGACGCGCGCGAGTGACAGGAAAGCAAATGAAGCTCCAAAACAATTAGGTCATGATCCTCCGGAAGTTGGTAATGGTAACAAATATCACAGCTTACTTAGTGGGCCAGAGATGGAAACTGGTAGTTCTAAAATTTTCAAGGGACTTGGAGAAGTAAACAAGGGGAAAAGGATCAACGTCATGAACGATAACCTTACAATGAGTTCGAAAAGGTTGAGGAATGAAATGTTAGAGGGACAGTCTTCTTTTGCGATGTTCAAACCTTCTCAAGAGAGGGAGAGTGTTTTATATCTGGAGAATGTTGTGTCCTCTGGCAATCGTGAAGGAGTCTTAAAGTCACGAATTGGTACCAATTCTGAATATGATGTTTCCCTTGGGAGAAATGAGGATCACCTACCCTCAATACCGGCACAGGCTCTTCCTGAGGTGAAAATTCATGAAAGAAAATCTCAGTTTCAGGCTGAAGATCTCAACTTGGTTCCAGAGCAGCGAGTCAAGTCTAATAGTTTCCTAGAAAGGAGTAGCAGAGTTGTTTCTGCAGATGTTCAGGATGATTTTGTAAGGTCAACCCCAGATATTGTGTCATATGAATTTGAAGTTGGAAGGGCTCCAATTCAGCCCTTTTTCTCTAGGTTATATCACATTAATGAATCAGGCTCTACATCTTTGGTTCATGAGAAGAAAATGAATAAAAATGCAGGTCTTCTCTTTCGTGATCCCTCAACAAGCAATAATCAGCTAAGAGAGTCATTTCACATGATGCCAAATCGTTCTGATTTTGAATTTCTTCCTAGGCAGATTAGTACCAGAGGTGATAGCCAATTAGAAAAATTATATAATGGATCATATGCACTACCAACACTGCCCTCCGTTCATGATGGAGAGACAATGAGAATACGTCCTGCAATAGGCTCCATAGAAGAATTTTCTAGAGGTCCTCCGACGTCCACTCAGACCACTCGTCGCTTTTTCATAAAAAAAAAGACTGACGTGAACTTACCTGATGGTGCTCAGATGTTTAGAGAGTCAGCAATATCCACTGAAATTAAGGGAAAAATGGTGACTGAACTCCTTGCAATATCTCCGGATTTTGGTTTCCATGTCAAGCATGGAGTGAAGCTGCTACCTCTGGACAGCTCCACAGGGAGTGAAGGAAAAGAGGGCACTGGGAATTTTAAGACTTCTGCAGTTGTTAAGGAGAATGATTCATTAGCTGAAGGAAAAGAAAACACTAAGATTGCCAATACTTCTGTTGTCAATGAAGAGAACGATTCATCTGCTGAAACTGACACCATGGGTATGGATGCTTTCTGTGAGAACCATCTATCTGGTATGTATGGTCCCTATCTTATATGGATGATTTAGTTAAATCTTAGACTGTACTGTTGACAATCTATGCTTTGGAGCACAGCCCTCAGATGAAGTTGCTAAATATAATTACTTAATCTGAACAGTGTTCATGAGTTTTGTATCTTTTTAGCGCAGTCCTAGTTTGCAAATTAGTGAGTTTTTTTCTTTTGTGTTACAGGTGTGGCTTCATTGCAATCAGATAAGGTAACTTTACTACTTTCTGATCTCTAAGCTATAGTGTTCCCTCTAGTGATTTTCTAGGGTCACTTGCATTTACAAAAACTAGTGAAGGTAAAAACATTGTCTTATGCACATCTTTTATAGACAACATATTTGATCTGCTCATTTACTTTTGTTAGGTCAGCATTTCACACAGCTGTTTTAGTTGCCATTGCCACCCAGGAATTTGGTGGATTTTTATCTTTGGGCTTTGAAATCATGCCACCACAAATAATAGTTATATTCTACAAGTGTTTTGCCGTGTTTTGTTAGTTTTTCTCTTTGGTTTAGGTCAAGGAATTTATGTAAGAGCTCATAACTCTGTAAAAACTTCCAGAATCAAAGGCTTACAAGGCCGCCTTATTTGTTCACATGATTAGTTATTAACTTTGTAGGGCATCAACGAGGGCCAGAAGTTGCCAGCTTCTCCAGCTGGAATGCCTTCAGTCAGACAAGAAACCAAGGGCAGACAGATGAACACCGAATTACCCGATATAAACCAAGAACTTACTGTACTTCCATGTTTGGCAAGGTCACCAGATAACATGGAGACAAGCACCTCAAGAACCCAGAGTTTGGATGCGGAATGCTTCCTTCCCCATGCCGAGCACTCCACAAATTCAAAATCTAGTGATTGCCCCGACACTCCTGTGAGACTGGACCCCTGCAGCAGATGGTTTAAGCGTCTCAAAGCAAGTGCTTCAAAAGTTGAAGAAGCATCATCCCACCAGAAATTTAGTAAGTTGTTCAACAAAATGCTAAGACATAGTAAGACTAGTTCAGAACCAAAGACAAGCGAGTCTGATGGTAAAGTGTCCATGTCAGATCAGACTGCAGAGTTTCTGCGGAATGCTGAATCCTATTCAACTGACCCAGCAAGGAAAACTCAAGAAATAACACTCTCTCATGTTTGGGTTCAGAGGTGGTTTCATAATCCATCTGCATCTCCGAAAAAGAATCCTGGAGCTGTGGCAGTTTCCAAGCCAGAGAGTTCAGTGGCAGCACTAGACTTCCGGAAGAAGCAGTTTCCTAGCACTGCTGCCATGGCTCTGATGGGGAAGGCCATGAATGGTTTTTGTCCATGTGAATTCAGAAAAAGTGGGTCTTCTGTAGTCTGGAATACCAAGTGATTCAGGGACAAGCTTTCTTGAGAAAATGCTAGGAATGGAAAGTGAGATAGGCAGTGCGCAGGATGTGCTGGTTATCTTACTGGTTGACATAAGCGCAGCAAGTTGAAATCTTTGAAGATCAATCCTCCATCAGATCAATGGCTGCAGACGAATTTTGTATAGCCTGAATGTTGCTTTGGTACTTATCCTGCCTGAAATTGTTTACATTGCCTGCTTTCCTCCTATGATCAGAATAGGTATTGTGGATGGAACTAGTGTGAGAGATTTGACCGAGGTCTTGTTTAGGTTGAGAAAGTGGCAACCCAGCCTCTGCTGCTTTTCATAGTGCAGAACTGAGAGGACTTGACCACACTCGAGCATGCTCCTATTGATCCTCCATATGTACTGCAAGCAAACTGGAGTAATGCTGTAATATCTGGAACCAGAAGCTAAAAATAAAAGATTTAACTGGAGGGGATTGTACTTCGAACTTAGATGCTTAATAATTATTTACACACATATAGTTACATGCAGAAATACATCACCATACCTCACATCAGCTGTACTCGTTAGGCATACACAAGTTTGGTCTTTGACTTTTGATATTTTAATTTGATCTATTTGAGAGGGGCTGTCACATCCTGCATTAGGCTGAAAATGGAAGAATAATGCATGACTAGAAGAGTAAAGAACAACCTGGGTGTTTCAATGTTCCTTCCATAATCTCTCAGAACAGTGTTCTTCATTCCTCTGAGCTTTGATATACAATTGCGTTTCTCAGAGTTCATCTTCTAAGAGGCAGTCATGTCTGACATTCATGTTTGTTCTTTATTGCGCTGTCTTGGTGTCTTTATCTTTTTTATTATGCCACGAGCTGGGAGCTATAAAACGCAGACCTTCCAATTCATGAGTGAACCTTTCCCTTAAGATATAATTCTTTTCTACTGTCTCCTAATCCAAGTTTGAGCATTTCTAATAAAGGAAATATTGTGCACAATTAATACTTAGTTGTATGGAGTTGCTTTCTTTAGTTCTCTCTCACATGGACTGAGAGATCAGAAGAAAAAAAGAGTTACAAGAAAATTCAAAATTCGTTTTATAATGTATCAATACACGTCTGTAATATATTCTTGATTATTCCTGGAATAACATGGAATGAGATGTCATGGATTTATCTGAGTGTTTTCATATATAATAAAAATGCAATCGTTTGAAAATTAATTATTTTTATGGGGTTTAAAAATAATATCAAACCAAAGATATCCAATGATTTATGAAGCTAGTATTCTACTATTTTCTTTAACAATTCTAGATTTATTCTTTTTTCTTTTGAATACCTCTTCGATTATCTTTGATTTTAGGCTAGTAACACTTTTCTCCAATATCTTATAGAGATTTAGAACTTTGATCAATTCAACCAATTCAATTAGCACTTTATGGCGCATTTGATGGAAGTATATTTTGTATAGATTTTGAGGAAATTTAGATAGAAAACCATACACTTTTAAAGCAAGATACATGTCTATATTCTCAAAAGTAGGACATTTGGGATCCAAAAAAATATATCAAGGCTTTAATTGCTAAATTTGCACTGACGCTTTCGCAATTTACTCCTTTATTTCTTCAAAAATTCATCTTTATGAATGCTTTTCATGTGTGAGAAGAGTTTTTTCAAGTTGTTTATGGAGTAACTCATATTTTTTATGAGTAGCAATTTACTATCATTCAATTTTAAGCAATTCTCTCTTCTAACAACTATAGGGATTTAGAATCCAGCCCGTGTTCAACAGAGTTCATCTCTTTAATGGTGACCATCAAGATACTTTTTAAGGTTAAGCATGTATTAATACAATAATGTTTGTTTATGAAACATATAGCCTATAAAGAGGTTCTACGTCCTTTATGTGAGACATTGAGGTAGGCATTATCTAGTCTTAAAAGGATCTTTTGTTGTTCAAATGATTACTCTTGTAAAGGTAATATAGGGCTCAATAGGTGGTGAAATGGTATATATACCAATTACTAGTAGTTCAAACACTCAATAAAGAGTTGAATAGTTTCATTAACTTAAACCTTGACTAAAAGTTATAAGTTAAGCCACTACTCCCTCATCTAACCTGAAGTTTTCATGTGTATGAATTCTAGAGCAATATATCACAAATAAATTAGTGATGCATGAAGACATTCATCGATATCTAACATATATGCACAAGTAAGATAAAACACAGTAAAGTGTAAATAAGTAAAAAAAATCCAAATGCAAAAATTTAAATACATCAGGTCACATAAATCCTAGTCTAAAACTGCCAAAAATATAAAATCCCCAGTAGAGTCGTTATGTACACATAACGTTGTGGTGTCGTGATCAAGGAGTCGTCATCTAATTATTTGGTCCAGGGTCACTATAAGACTTGACTATTTTGATCTTATATAAAATTCTAGGATAAAAGACTTTTTATGAATAGAGAATATATTAGTACCCTTAATACATCTTACCTAAAATAAGCTGCATTGTGTGATCTAGATATTGCTTAAATGTATTGAAGAGTTCCTAATTGATGATTTGTCTATGACTTTGAAATAAAAGTTTATTCTCATGAATAAATTTGATGTTTTAAATCCACTATGAGCTCATATGCTCAAATAAATTCTTATAGGAAGAATCTATATAGGTGCCCTAACAGGGTTCACCCATTTTAGAAGACAAAAGAGTTTTCCACAACTTATATATTATGATGAAAAATTAAAATTAATGAATACCCGAAATAATTTTAAGAATTTAAATTCCAACCTATTTATTCCAGTTAACTCCTTTTGATTCCAGTCTACTTGTAGGTCTAGCATTTATACAAAAATAGATTAAGCACTAAGAACATGAAGAACATGATGAACATTTAAACCAAACCCAGTAAACACAAATCACAAACCAGATAAGTTTTCATACAATCAATGACAATATTTTGTTTGTAATTATGCATAGATCAATAATCAAGCCTCTATTTTCTTTGATTGACACTTAAAAGTCACAATTTGATTAAAAATATGTTTGGACATTAGAAAAAAAACATAGAATCTAAATACATAAATACGTGTTATTAATGCATTTTAACCTTAGATTATTTACTAAAGATGATAAACTAACATGATTATGTCAAGACTTAACTCAAAACAACTCCAAAACAAGAGGCTAAGATAAAATTCATGCAAAGGACATGAACCCAGAATCTAGAGAATTTCTAGAAATTGAAAAACTATTGTTAAAACCTAAATTTAGCATTCCAGGCCTCCAAGCACATTGCTTTTGGTTCTCAAAAACCATATTACCAATATTAAGCATAGATGAATCTAAAAAACTAACAAATAACATCAAATTATTAATAATATGCATAAAGTTTCAATTCCTAAAACTGTCAAATCTTATCTATCTTATATATCTATGCAATTTGGATTCAAAATTAGTTTTCTAAACATATTTTGGTCATGAACAAGCCTTGTTAACATAGGATCAATGATATTGCTTCACAATGCATTAATTAAACAAAACAAACCAACATTGTTTTATAAAAATTAATCAAACTAGAAAGCTTTTGTCACATTAAAAATATCAAACACACCTTAAAAAAATATTAAAATTTAGAATCAAGATCACAACAACAACAACAAAAAAAAACACAATCTTTACTGATTAAAAAAAATTCATATGTTCTAGAAGAAACATCAAGAATAGGATCTTCGATTAGTAGAGCTCACTTGGCTAGAGAAGAAGGTAAGTAAAATCTCATTTACAACTTATAAGGTTAAATTTAAACTTTTAGTTATAATTATGAATACTAAGTATGAAAGAAATATGGATGAATCGTAAATATGATATGAAATCAATGTAAACAAGTTGTTTTCACAATGAGCGAAAACCAATGTTGGGATCGTTTTTAAAGTTTTTTAAAAATAACTAAGATAGAATTGCTTTTGTAATGAGCGAAAGCCAATATTAGAATTGTTTCATAAGTTTTCAAAAACCAATGAGATAGAGTTACTTTCACAATACACGAAAGCCAATGCTAGGATTGTTTTTGAAGTTTTCAGAAACTAATAAATTTAAGTTGCTTTTACAATGAGTGAAAGCCAATGTTGGGATCGTTTTTTAAGTTTTCAGAAATCAATGAATTTGAGTTGCTTTTATAATAAGCAAAAACTAATATTAATATTGTTTCTGAAGTTTTTGGAAATCAATGAATTTAAATTGCTTTCACAATGGATGAAAGCCAATGTTGAGATTGTTTTTAAAGTTTTCGAAAACCAATGAATTTGAATTGCTTTCATAATGGATAAAAGCCAATGTTAAGATTATTACGAAGTTTTCACAAACCAAATGAAATTGGATTACTTTCATGATGAGAGAAAGCCAATGTTGATATTATTTTTGAAGTTTTTTAGAAACCAATATAATAAAGTTGTTTTCACAATAAGCAAAAGCCAATGTTAGGACCATTATCAAAGTTTCTAGAAACCACGTAATTGAGGTTCTTTTTGAAATATACAAAAGCTTAATGTTAGAAATGTTCTCTTTAGATTGGTGGAAATTAATATCGGGGAGATAAGTTGTCAAAATAAAACTAGTATGATGAAGTTTTTGTAAATTTTTTTATGATTAATTATATTCTAGTTATTTTAGGAATGGATGTGTAAATGTCATGAGTATTATTGTGGAAGTGTAAATATTATTCATGAAATCTTCTAATGGATTGGATAGGTATAATGAGTACCCTTAGTGTATATACCTAGGAGTAAGATTTTGTTTAAAATATAAATTTATGCTCAATTAATCTTTGTTGTAAGACCTCTATATATTGGTGGACCAAGTAATTATACGGTAAATGTACTCTAGGATTTCAGAACTTTCGTTGTGCATGTAATTAATTTTGTAAGTGATATTGAAAACTCTTTTTATTACCTTTGTTTTTTAATGATATTATCATATCTATGCGGGTTTATGTAATGAAATCCTCAAGTAAAATAAAAAAAACATTTATACCATTTCCATATAAATTTTCATGTGTGTTTAAATTATGCTCCTCTATCTGTATATATCTCAAGATCAATAAACATGTGTGATTTAACATGTTCTTCTCCTAGCCAATATTTATAGTTAAATTCTTATAAATGAATATAGTGTTGTTATCAAAAGGTGATATGTATATATATATGAGGTTGAAATTGACTTGTGGTTAAAAGATGTTATGAAATAAGTTCTAAGATAAATGGTCTATGTGGTTATAATAATTGTGCAATGAAGGAATTAGTCAATAACTTGGTATGCCCATTTATAAAGAAAATATGCCAAATTTTTATTAGAATTGTTTATCAATCAATATAGAAATATGATCATATGTATAAATACAGAAAAAACCACAAAAAAAATCACAAACAAAATACATACTTAGTTTAAAATGTGAAAGCATTGCAGTATTTTCATAGTTAACATTCTTTAAAGGATAGGGGTGTTACAAGTTGGAATCTTTATATTAGACTTGTTTTGTAGTTGTGGTTTTGGTTTTGGTAATTTTGCCAAACTTAGAGAATAAGGAGTTGTTTTTGGGCCCTTTTACTTTGA